GCAGAAACAGTCTCCTAAATAATACTGAGTTATTTGGAGAAGGCCCAAGAATGTTCTCCTGGTAAAGTCACATAAAATAAAGTGGATCCAAGTTATTAAATGGTTATAAGACATCATGGGGCTTATTTCTTTACACTCACAAAGAATATATGGGAACACTGTAATCGTATAACTCTGAAAATTTTAAGTTTTTATTCTGAGCTTCTCAAGCACAATGTATCCATCTCTGCTGCCAAGAATTTTGCTTCCAGTTCCCCACCCCTCATTAACACCTGCTCTGCAGTGTAGGCAGCAACAAGGGATAAGGGTGAACTGTGATCTGTTTCTCCTTTTGCTCTACTTTATAGCATGAAGAAAAGGTTTTGCATGAAACGAGTTTAAATTAAAGGTTTTAACAAGGTTCTGGTATTCCTTTTCCTCTGCCTGAATGTCCTATGCTGACCTGAGGAGTTACAATTTGGGGATATGCAAGAAATATGGAAAGAGGAACCAAGATGTAGGCAATAGATGTAGTCCTGAAATTCTGTTTGCACATGACATGTTTGTCAAATACATCAGTTTTTAATTGCCTTGGGAATTAGGTGTTTAAGTTTCACCTGTTTCTCCCCCCCCTTGATGATTTTACTATTTACATTTTTCTGTGTCAGCTTTGTTTATTACTGGCACATGCATAGTCATGGTTAATAGCAAAACACTCCACAGTGGATTGTGTTAGGGTCACTGTTTTCGGTGAGACCTTTTCACTGTGTATTGTAAATGATTAGTCTGTCATTACCTGATGGTCCAGGGCCATTTATTAATCATGGACTCTAATTTTCAGAAGGATGATCAGTTCTGTAAATTGATCACCTCTGTAAAATCAGTGTTTTGCTATTTGTAATGCTCTTTATTTACATCTTAGTAATCCTCACGTATTTATTCTGTTAGGGACCTTTCTAGCTTATCATAAGTACATGTGTTGAGTGTTTGTCAGGCATTTCTGTCTCAATTTTCAGCCCAGGAAAGCCAGGATTTTATGAGCATTGTGCAATGCAAGTCAGGGCAGCTGGCTCGTTAGTCATTTTGTCAGCCTGGAATCCAGAGGATGTGTTGTTTTGAAAGGTGCATTCTGTTATCAATTTTAACTTAACCTTCAAGACTCAACCCAATTCCTATACCTCTTGTTGATTCTTCTCCTCCTCTAAGTAAGTCATGTTTTTCTCTGGGCTCACATAACACTCGTGCCATTGTAGAACTTGTTCAAGCCAGTTAAATCATGTCAAGGTGTTTAGGTATCTTTTTCTCAAGACAACCTGTGAACTTATTGGGAGCAGAGAATTTTTATTTATCAAGCATCTTTTATGTGCTAACTACTATGGAACATGGATATACTTATTCCCTTATCACAGATGAGATGATTGTGTCTCTAATTTACATAGTCAGTACATGACGGAATCTGGGTGTGAAGCTGGATCTGCTCTTGCCCCATTGCCTGCTCAGTGGTTGCAATAAACTCTGTGCAGACTGAGGACAGAGATCAGAGTTCACCTGAGACATGTAATGCCTCATACAGTTATCCACCCCAACTACCGGTGTCCACTTTTTTAGCTGTCCCTTGTTCATTAAGGCCACAAGCTTCATCTTTAAGGGGGGGCTTTCTTCCTCCTCTTATATTAATGTGTTTATTCATTGTTCATTCATTCCTTTTTTTATTTATTTTTACTTTTTTTTCCTAAAATTTATTTATTTTTGAGAGATAGACAGAGAGACAGAGCACAAGCATGGAAGGGGCAAAGAAAGAGTGGGACACAGAATCCAAAGCAGGCTCCAGGCTCTGAGCTGTCAGCACAAAACCCTACGTGGGGGGCTTGAACTCACAAATGGCGAGAGCATGACCAGACCTGTAAAAGGAAGCCTAACTGACTGAGCCACCCAGGCGCTCTTCATTCATTCCTTTAATACATAATTATGAGATGACTATAGAACTAGCCTTGTTCTATTGCATAAAATAAAATGACAAAAATCCTTGTTATTATGGATTTTATATTTTCATCAAGGAGATTGACAATAAAAAAAAAACTACATGGGTGACATATGTTACAATGTGATAAGTGCTAAGAAACAATGAAAAGTAGATCAGTATAAGAAAGTGGAATGTATGGTTAGAGGACAGTATTAAATAGGAAGTGAGGTTCATGCTCCTAGAGAACTCAATATTTGAACAAAACTCTGAAGGAAGTATATTCCAGGCAGAGGAAACAGCTAGAGCAAATGCCCTAAGATAGGAGTATGTCCACTGTGTTGGAGAAATACCAAGGCTTCAAGTGTGTCTAGACTAGAATAAAGGCAGACACTATTACCTAATGAGGGAGTAGAATAGTCTTATAATGTTGGCAGCCTGACCCTGATTTAACACCGTATATGCAAGAAACCGCCAGTGCCTCCAAACTAATAAGGTTGGATTGCTCAGTGGTTTTAGCCCACATTTATCTTCATCAAGTAGTCCTCCAAAATCAATGGTACCATCTATGCTTAGAGCATTGCTTTAGCCCAGGAACCACACTCACTTGTATGGTTCCTATCTCTATAGTGTTTTCGTTGATCCCTTCCTTTACATTATATTGACCACAATTGATAGAAACTGCTTATACAATTCATTGTAGGTACTCAGGAGATGTTTGTTGAACCAATGGGGACAGAGTCAATCTTACAACACAGATGGATACTCCCACCAGTAAATAAATGTGTGTTCTGGTTGTAGACATAAGCGACATATTTACTTACATTGAATTAGGTATCTAGAATATGGCTGAGTGTTGATTAAATGCTAATTACTTTTCAATATATCAATGTTCCATCAAAATCAGAGAAATCAGGCAATTTCCGATTCTATACCCTTCGAGATATTTTCTGGTTCTTACTAAAAATAACTTGTTTCACTTTGAGAAGAGTCACCAGTTAAAAAGAAGTATTTAAACCTAATTTCAAGGGAAAAATATTTCCTTTTTAGCTGATACATTTATGTCTACAGTATAGTGATTTTATTGCCTTTGTACAATCTTCAACTTCAAATGTCAACTACATAGTTATTCCCTTTGTTGGACTTAACCTTATTTATGCCAGTAATTTGTTTCCTTAGCTCTTCTGTAACTCAGTCAGCCTGTGACATTTACTATTATTATAGTGGATGTAAATCAGAGTCCCCCAATTTCTTTCAACCTTTTCTTGCCAGTTTGAAATGACTTCTGTACAATTATAAGTGCAGTAGGTTGATACTAGCATGTAGGTATAAAACTTTTGTAAATGTATATTTTAATTTCTCTACAATAATATATAAATATAAAATAACAGTTTTGAAAATATGAACTGATATGTATTTTAAATTTTATAGGAAAAGCTAATTGGGAGCATTTTACTTGCTTTTGGTCATCTTTTTCTCAATAAACAAATTCTTTAAATCTGAGGCAAATATACTTATAGATCTATGAGCTGTCAAGGCATCTATCAAGAGTAATTACCCACTTTAGTAGGAAATTAGATAACAATTTTAATTGCCCTATCAATTCAAATCCATTTTCCATTTATTTTAACAACTATTATAGTTAATTTACAAAAAATTATTTCATATCAAACGTAATTTCAGAGGTGTTACTTTATAATTTACGATGCCATTATTTTTCCATTATCTAATCATTTATGTCATTAAGAACCCTATTCAATACTTATTCAATGAAAGTGTAGTGGAAATGGAATTTTTTTAAGTGGCTTCATTGTTGTCATATAAAGTGCCAAAAAATTTTATGATTTGTTTTATCATAAAATGGATGTGTGTGCGTTTTTTTTTTAAACCAGATAACTAGGTGGATGGTTTGTTAAACAAAAATTCTTAAGCCAAGTAAGTTATAGAAATTTCCTATGCCTTTCATAACAAATCCTTTGATTTATATCTTTCTGAGTAATTTGCATGGTAGTTATTATAATTTGAAATGTAATGAATAAATATGCAACAAGTATTGTACTGAATGTGTAGTCAACTGTATTCTGAAGAGGGATTTTTTTTTAAATTTTTACATTTTAAAAAGTCTATCAGTCATTCTTTGAAAATGGCCCCATAACAATTTTTAAAATAACTATATTTTTATCATTCCATGGTTTAATATAAAGTTTTGCAAACTATAGTACAGTGTAAATCTATCTCTCAAATTAGAAAATGGCCATGTTTAAAGTGATTTGATATTCTGTGCTTTGTTATAAAAATAATAAAGTCAAACTATATGACCTATTTTGCTTCTTTAGATTTTGTACAGGAATGATTCATTTCTTGTGTGTTACTAGGCTTACTATCAGTTAATAAGTAAGTGCCAGGAAGTATGAAAATATGGCAAGATGGCCAGAGAAGAAAATACAAAAGACAAGCACCTAGCTTCTTTTTGCCTTATCTTCTCTCTGAAATTATTACATAAATATCTAATGCATCTTCCTTGTGGCTCTTGTCTCAGAATTTGTGGAACTTTCTAACAGCTGTGCTTTTAATCGTGAAATATCAAGGGTAGTATCTAAGACTCTACCCAGATGACTGGCAATACTTTTGTGCTCTGTGCTAGAGTAACAACAACAAAGAAGGGCTCATAAACTCAACTGTACAGGACTGTGCTTGTGCTGTGCCCACCTCACCCAAGATTCTTACATATCCTTTTGCCCAATCCCTATTCTGGCCAGTTACCCATTATGAGCTAATTAGCTAGGGAACAAGAATTAGCTGTACAGTCTTGAAACAGAACAAAACTAATGGCGACGTGGGCTTGACTACAAGAGCTTTGCCACCTTGGCATTAATCAACAAACCTTCAAATATTTGAAGAATAAAATCAATTGAAGTAGAATTCTTACTATTATTCTTACTATCATTACTGTCGTAGTAAATTGAGGATTAATTTTGTTAGGCTGTTTAAATATGGCTAATTATATTTTCTTTAAAAAAAAAATACACAAGGCTTTTGTTTTTCTGTTTCTTTCCCATAGGTTTAGGCTTCAGTATTGCAGGAGGTGTGGGGAACCAACACATTCCCGGAGACAACAGCATTTATGTAACTAAAATTATAGATGGGGGAGCTGCACAGAAAGACGGAAGGTTGCAAGTAGGCGACAGACTGCTAATGGTGAGTGTGACTCATGCAAAACTATGTGTGTATTTATACAGCTCTTGTTGTCCAGTATATGACTGTCTTAGTTCACGCTGTCATAACAAAATACAACAGATTAGGTGATTTACACAACAAAAAATCTATTTTCTCAGAGTTCTGGAAGCTGGGAAGTACAAGGTCAAGATTATGGCCCATTCAGTTCCTGGTGATATCCCTCTTCCCAGCTTGCAGACAACCATCTTCTTGTTGCATCCTCAGATGGCCTTTCCTTGGTGCTTCTGCTGACACATCTCTCGTTCTCTTCTTACGAGGCCCCCAGTCCTATTGGATTAGAACTTCACCCTTACCTCAGTTAATTAATAACCTTAATTACAGCCTAAAGACTCTATATCCAAGTAAAGTCATATTGGAAATTAGAATTTCACATATGAGTTTGAGGGAAGAGGCCACATTCAATTCATAACAGTGATCGCTGGAAGAAATAGAACAGAAGGGAGAGCAGATTTTGTGGTGGGAGATTTCAATTGTATCTGCTTTGTTGACATTTTAAAAACAAATATGAATTTTCACTAGTCTTTATAGATACAGCAAGGCACAGAGATTATGTTGCTTTTCCAATGTAACCCATGAACAGAGAGTGTTACATCCAAACTGCTAGAGAGGTGGGCTTTGCGTAACAAAGGGAACTCCACTGTCTGGTTTATTGGTAGGTACATTTCTATGTCTCCCTGGAGTCCCTTATTAAACCAGTGTAGATAGTATAAATAGTCCCAAATTTCCCACAATTCACTTTCTGAGTTCTGTCACATGTGCAAATGGATTCTTTCCTCCTCTCCCCTCAGACAGGATTTTTACAGCTATTTAGTTTGCCAGCTGCCTACATGCTTCAGGAGCCCTAAGCAATGACTGACAACAACACATGGCAGCCCTTTCTAAGTAACGGAGTTATATGATAAATTAAAGCAAACTTAAGGCAGCATATAAGCAGTAAAAGTTTGAAATTGCACTTAATAAAACTACTTTATCTCCATTTACTGTTTTATCCCAAATCTACAAAATAATCATCAAATACTGAAAATTAATAGAAAAGAGCTCTCAAGTAAGATACATATATTCATTTATAGTCATATGTCTGCCCTTGTAAAACATGACCTCTAATTTCTGCAAGGAGACATTATCTCCAACACACATTTGGAAAAGATCAACCTATATTCTCTACAAAACTGTAGTTTCTATGCTGTGCAAGTTTTGGAGGTTGAACTTCAAAGTGCATTATGCCCACTTCCCTGAACTTTAGACAGCTTGTCTTTAGTCTCATTGGTCTAGTTTCATAGCTGTCAGTGACCTTGGTGTTGAATTTTCTGAAACATAATCTTGATGACTAATATTTATTTGACACTTGCTATTTCCATGTACTTTTAAAAGTGATTTTTTTGTAATATAACATACGTTTCTCACAGCAACCTATTCTATCTAAACAAAAAGGAACTGAGATATGGAGAAGTTTATTAACTTTGCCATGGTCATATAGTTAATAATGTACAGAACTGGACTTCAAATCCAAGTACTCCGGTTTGTAACCACCAAGCATGGTCTTTAATTTGTTTCCTAGAATTTGCCAGTCAATTCTTTCCTTCTTTTTTTTTTTTTTAATCTTTCATGCAGTCATTCATTAATTAAGTAATATATTGAACACTTACCATGTACCAGGCAATAACTACTACATAGGAAGGAGCTCTCTCAGGAGAAAATGTATAGGCAAACTGGATGGGCAAAAAATGTGGCATTAACGACTTCAGTCAAAGTTGCAACTAAGAGTTTTGGCTTCTTTACCACCTGAAGTCACTATCATTTTCTCTTTTTTAGTCATTTTTTGTTGTTATTGTTTGGTTGACATATAAAAAGCTTTGCTTACTCGATGTATACAGGTCCTTGAATTTGGATGTTAGTTATATACCCGAGAAGCCATCCATCATCATTATCAAGGCCATAAATATATTCGTCATTTCCCAAAGCTTCTTCTCAATTCTATTCATATTCTTTTGTGCTTATATGTGGTAAGAACAGTTAATGTAAGATCGACCCTGTTGGTAAATTTTAAGTAGGTAATACAGTGTAGTTAGCAATAAGCACTATGCGGTACAGTAGAACTACTATTTTTATTCTTGAGACATTCTACATTTTTTGGTTTGCTTGTTGTTGGCTGTTTTTTGTTTTTATTTTTGCCTTTAACGTAAAAGTTGTTTTTTATGATGTTATGTCTTCTGGACCAGAAAAGTATTATTGAGGTATTAGGCCTAACAGCTTCTCTCAAGAATATGAACTTTATTGTTTGTTGGCTTTAAGAATAAAATAAGCCATGATATCCACTTTTACATGGCACTAACTTTGAAAAAATTGAGAGGACAGTTTCATTCTAAAATAATGACACTCACAATTACACATTTGACCTTCTCACAATTACACATTTGACCTTTGACTCATTATTCTGTAAAAGTTTGGTTGTAGACTACTCTTGGTATTTCTTCAACTGCTGCTATAATAATATCATACTTGATGTTGCGTGCTGATTTTCTGAAGTTCTCTTTAAATGTCTAGCTTTACTTTCAAATTCTTGAAAAAAAATTCAAAGTCTAAATTCTGACAAAGTATTTTCCAGGCACCATGCTACTTTTCCATTACCATTTTCTTGATATTCATCGTACATGTAATGATTTCAAAAATAGCTAAGACATAATCTTTAACTATTTTGAGTTTTAAAGCATATTTTTTTAAAAACTGAACTTTCAACAATAATAGGTCTCTCTCTCTTATGTAAGGAAAACATAATTAGTACTTCCAAGGCAACTGCCAAACTGAATCTAGAAATGAAAGAAAATGATTCATTTTATAATATTCTGAAAGAAAAATAATGCTGAGGAAAAGAATAAAAAAAAATCCTGGAAGCCCTCCCAAAGGACCAATTATCTTGCTTCAACCCAAAAATATTTATTAATGCTCTCCTTCTGTCAGTCCTTTACACCTCCTTTTCTCTTTATTACCTACATTCTCATCATCTTTACTTTCTCCTTTTCCTCCCCCAAAGGAAGTACAAATAATTGGATTCTGTGATTTACCAGCTGTACCACACTCTGTATATTTTTCTCTAAATAGCTATTCTTTCTAAAGCAATTTGCATCACTCCCTCCTCTCACTTCTTAGGAAAAGTTCCCCCATATGTTATTCATTCATAGTTCTGTAAGCAAACTGGTCTAAAGTGAAACTCTATTAATTTCCTCATACCATCAATGCTGGGTACTTTTTTCTCCCTTAAGTACTTCATATATGTCAGAATTTAGAACTGTCTGTCTTAGATGTTACCTTATTCCAACTTATTTGCTACATCAGAAGCCACAAAACAACAATGCGATGTAGCCCCTCACCTCTGCTAGAACATACTAAAGCTGGAGAAATTAATGCCTTCTGGAACCTATCCATTAAGTACCAACGATCACTAGTTTTTTTTTCTTAAAATTATATCAAAATATATTTCCCTATGTATTTCCTGCTTTACTCATAGCTCTGTCCCTTGGAGACAGAAAGGTGAACACTAATTCCTCTTTTGCATTTGTTTGAAAAGTTAGATCTTGCCACTTCCCCACTCAGTCTTGTTTTACACATTTTCTCTCTTATACTAAATTTTAGCACATATCCATTTATCTTCTATAAATAGATTACCCTTTTAACAAAACTTTTAATTTCTTAGAATGTTATTGTCCCCCTTTGAAAACCACAGGCAATATTGTAGCATCTGACCTTTATTTGCTTTTTAATTACTTTTTAATATTTATTTATTTTTGAGACAGACAGAGTGTGAGAGAGGGAGAGGCAGAGAGAAAGACACACACACAGAACCTGAAGTAGGCTCCAGGCTTTGAGCTGTCAGGACAGAGCCCAAGGCCGAATTTAAACCTACAAACTGCAAGATGATGACTTGAGCCAAAGTTGGTCTCCTGAGCCACCTAGGCACCACTTTAGCATCTCACCTTTACATTTATTTTACAATAAAGAAAAAATTATCCTGTCTATAACCTTTTCAATAAGACTTTTAGTGTTTCAAATAAGATGACTTTTTATTTTTTGAGGAGGGGGGTGGTGCAAGTGAGGAAGAGGCAGAGAAAAGTTGGGGGGGGGAGTGGGGCTCAACCGAAGTGGGGCTCAAGCTTACCTGAAGGGGGCCCTGAACTCACAAACCATGAGATCATGACCTGAGCTAAAGCCAGATGATTAACCAACTGAGCCACCCAAGCCCCCAAGTAAGATGACTTTAAGGTCAGGCCTCTGATGTTTCATGGGACACCCAGAATGGTGTATATTCCTTTTATTAAAATAATATATTTTTTAAATTCCCCTACTGCTTGGCCCTTATTATCGTTCACTAGAATTTTTGTTTTGTTTTGTTAAATGACAATGACATCTAATATTTATGGATTGTACCTATAGTTTAGTGTTGTAATCTCATACTAAATAGATTAACTACTGGCCTTGATTTCCTGGAACAGATGCTGTGTGGGGGTGTGTGGGGGTGTGTGGGTGTATGTGTGTGTGTGTCTAAAAATAAGTAAACATTAAAAAATTTTAAAAATATATTAATCTCATTACTGTGTCCCATGAAAAGGATCACTGGTCACATAAGTTTGGGTAATTCTACAACCTGTATCTCACTTCTCTTACAGACTCTCAATGAACTTAAATACATTAAAGGGTTGGTGACGTCCTATAGTCAAGGAACTAACTTAACTTGAACACTAAAATTTTCAGAACTCTTTTATTAGGGAACCCTTTTCTTAAAGTGAAGTTCATGGAACACATAGAACTTATGTTCAGTATAATACACTCTGGATATACTGTGTGTGAGCAGATCTTATTCTTATTTCAAAATTAATATCCTAGGGTAAGGACAGTAAGTGGATTTAGGTAATGTAAGTGGAAACAATACAATTTTATGGATGAGTTACATTATTCTTTTTGATAAT